ACACAGTACAGCTAACTGATGATCTGATCAATTTTACCTTTCTACACACACCACAGCTAACTGAAGATCTGATCAATTTTACCTTTACACACAAAAATTACCCCCACCACAGTTAACTGATAATCTGATCAATTTTACCTTTCACACAAAAATTACCCACACTACAGTTAACTGAAGATGTGATCAATTTTACCTTTCACACAAAAAAGACTCACACTACAGCTAGCTGAAGATCTGATCAATTTTACCTTTAGACACAAAAATTACCCACACCACAGCTAACTGAAGATCTGATCAATTTTACCTTTACACACAAAAATTACCCACACCACAGCTAACTGAAGATCTGATCAATATTACCTTTACACACAAAACTTACCCCCACCACAGTTAACTGAAGATCTGATCAATTTTACCTTTAGAAAGTAAAAAGTTGTTAAAACATTGTTATAGAAGTTGTACCTGGTTAAAAATTAAGATGTACTGCTAGATTAACAATATCTTTCAGAAAGCCAAATACACGGCGACTTCACAGAAATACACACCAGTGTTAATAGATAAATACTTTCCTGACCAGTGGTAATATAAAACAAATTATAAATCAATCTACACAAGTGACCAGTATTATAAGAAACATTCGTCCTGTTGACCAATGCTGAATATATTATATTATTCATGAAATAATTCTACATAGTGGTCAATACATATTGAAAGACAGTTATACGTAGAAATGTCTACTATAGTAACCAGTTTTCACACTTAAGAAAAGCTGATTTACAGAAGATTATTCGGGTTAGACAAACAACTCTGAGCTTAGTTTTTAAATTGAACTTTGAGATAACTATACTTGTGTCAGCAGTATTTCAAGTTTTGTTCCTATACTCACGTGGCACGTTCCCTTTCCTCCAGCCAAAGTTCCAGCACACAAATGCCATTGGAGAATGGGAATTTTGAATTGCTCTGAGTAAACCTTGCTGCAGATGGAGTTGTCAAAAACCTCCACCTTCACTTTCTGAAGGATGGGGGAACCTTTCTTGTCTAAACAAATAAATAATCCTAATTAAAACATGAAGGGCTAAAGAGCAAAGGTTAGAATCGTCGGTATCTTTATGTAAGTAATGTGTTTTAATTTATTAATTACATTTTGGAAAAGCTAGTGATGGCATTTTTTTGTCGAAGACTTGAAACCAAAATGTGATATTTGATATTAAGGCCTTATACGGTTTGGGAAACGATATCAGTTATATTAATATCGAATTACATCAAAAAGTTACTTCGTAAAAAGCATCAGAAACAGGGACGAAAATTACCAAACTTACCAAAATCCACCTTGCCCCATCCTGTCGCGTAGCACTCGGAACCTTCAAACTGATCGAACTTGTCTGGCAAACAGACCGGTTGTACGTAGTCGTTGAGCTCCACTGGTTCTTTCAACCTCATCATGGCAATGTCGTTGTCATAATTTCGGTACCAGTGGTTATAGAAAACGTGGGATACATTGTAAGTTTTCTCACTTCCCTCTTGTCTCTTTAAATGATGGTCTCCGACCCTCACGTGCCAGTAAATTGGGTGGGGTAGGGAAAACAAAGGGCTGTGGAGAGAAGACATTGTATAATTCGTGTCTGTGTTGTTGGTCAACAGACAGAAGGAGTTATCACCCCCACGAAGTTAGGTTCTAAAATTCATGAATAAGGTAAAGCAGTTAAGATGAATAAACGTTCAAATTAAACAACTGAAACATCTTGCGATTTTTTCTTAAATAACTGTTCAAAGATACAGGGTGGTTGCAGAATTTATATCCCTTTGAAAGAATTTGTTTGTTGTTCGCACGAGGGCCATGTGCGCTAGCTGTCCCTAATTTAGCAGTGAAAGACCCACCGCCAACTCTTGAGCTACTCTTTGACCAACGAATGGTGGGATTAACTTTATAACGCCCCCACGACTAAAAGGGCGGGCATGTTTGGTGGGACGGGGATTCGAACCCGCGACCCTCAGATTGCGAGTCAAGCGCATTAACCACCTGGCCATGCCGAACCTTGTTTTTTAAGAGATCTAATATTTGTTATACTGTTTTTAACAGACGATATAGTTCAACTAATTTAAACTATTTTTATTTCTAGCAAAGTTTAGGACATTTAGTAACCTAATGTATTTCCAGATCATTAAAAATATCTAAAGTTATTTAAACTCATCTATAAAAGTTAAGATTTTCTTAACAAATTTATAACGTGAAGACAAAATAAAAATAACATGTTTATGAACATATTGGTATCATTGTAAGTCTCGAAATGTTTATGAATATGACATTTTCATAATTGTAACTTTCGAAATGTTTACCAACATGATATTCTTGTTACTCTATTGGCCCGGCATGGCCAGATGGTTAAGGCACTCAACTCGCAATCTATAATACAGTTACCATCATCAGAGTTTGTGAATACAGTGTTAGCTAAGCCCATATTAAACTCGAACCTGTATTGAAACAACTAACAAAGATTTTATCTTTCATTATGCCAAAAAACTTCTTCAGAATTTTACACCACTCATACAGGATTGTGTTTTGACACATGAACTTAATTAATCTTTGCACATTCCACCAAAAAAAAATTAAATGCACAGAATTAAAGGCTTGGTTTTCTGTCTTGATGATACTGAACTAATGAAGTGAAGAATGAGGTTTTTCAAGTACGTATGCCCAGGTTCGAACCTCGCATTGTATCAGTTTCATTTCTATTTTACAAAACCTATGCGTTGATTTTTATACATTTTCTTAACTGGAATTACCTTTGATTGTCTTACTCTATATGTGCTTAGAGACTTGTTCATGATGGATGACCTATACACACATCAAACCTTCCAGGGAGAACGGGTCACTATTCCCATCCGCTTGTATACCTTCCAGGGGAACGGGTCACTATTCCCATCCGCTTGTATACCTTCCAGGGGGAATGGGTCACTATTCCCATCCGCTTATATACCTTCCAGGGGGAATGGGTCACTATTCCCATCCGCTTGTATACCTTCCTGGGGGGAACGGGTCACTACTCCCATTCGCTTGTGTCACTTGACACCGGAGTTCGAAAGCACCGGCCCTATGTGTAGTTCCAAAATGCATAAGAAGGATTTAATTCTTTAACTTAACTAATCAAAGTTTATTTTAAAAGAAATGTCTCGTTTGTTTGAAAGATTTTCTTTTTTTCTTTTCAGATTTCCCTTCAACTGACCCATCCACAATTTGGATTTCTTGGCCACTGGTGTGGAGGAGTTCTAATAGATAAACAATGGATAATGACGGCGTGTCACTGTATTATCAAGTATGGATAAAACTAATTAACATATTACATTACGTACTGTTGTTCCATATTCTGTCATTTGTCTAAAGGATGTATTTTTACTGTTAAATTTCTAGTCATTCCGCTGTCAGTCTGTATCATTAATATCAAGTCTAAGTATGGTTGTTTTTATGCAGTGTATACTGCGACAGTAAACCAGCTGAAGTTATTTTTTTACATATTTTATACAAGCGGATGGGAATAGTGACCCATTCCCCCTGGAAGGTATACAAGCGGATGGGAATAGTGACCCATTCCCCCTGGAAGGTATACAAGCGGATGGGAATAGTGACCCATCCCCCCTGGAAGGTATACAAGCGGATGAGAATAGTGACCCGTTCCCCCCTGGAAGGTATACAAGCGGATGGGAATAGCGACCCGTTCCCCCTGGTAGGTATACAAGCGGATGGGAATAGTGACCCATTCCCCCCAGGAAGGTATACAAGCGGATGGGAATAGTGACCCATTCCCCCCAGGAAGGTATACATGCGG